ATGAAACTTGTGTAAATAAATGCGGTGATTAGATTAAAATAAAGGAAGAGGAATGCGATGATGTAAAGGTGATGGATGTGATGATTAATGTAAGCTAGAAAATAATGATTAAAAATTTACATCATATCGTACCAAATTATCCAAAACCATTATTACTTAGTGTAGGAACTTCTTAGGTTTATTCTGGTATCAGATTATTTAAATTATCATATACTACTCACATTGTTATAACTGAGAGTTTTCAAATTAAAGATTATCTATCCTTACATATCTCAAGCAATCATAGTGTTAAATAAATTGATCAGAACTTTCAAATAACCCAAGATACTTCATAGATTAATGAGTTTAATCAATCTGAATTAAATTTGATGATAAATATCTCCTTCACTAGAAGTTCACAAGATAAAATCTTATTGATCAAATTCTTAAATAACTCAGTCATTTATTCAAATGAAGGATACTCCCAAATTGAAACAGAAGTCTTTTGTCTCATACCAAAAGTGACTTACATAGATGATCTCACTATTGCTCAAGTCCAATTAACAACCTAAAGTAATACTTATGCGCTTTGGTGGATCAGTGTTATTTGTGGGAGTTGAAGTCTTTTTTAATTTGCTCGATACTCTTTTAATGCTATCTTATTTGTAATATATTAATGTTTAACTCCCATTTAATGTGTAAACCTACTTTGAACTTTTTGGATTTGCATAATTTAACTTTATCTAAAAGTTTTTTGATTTATCCGGATTTGTTGATCAAATTCTTAATGTAAAACAATTAAAGAAAATACCCAAAAAAGTAGCAAGTGATGATATTACATCACAATTTATTATTAATTCTGCAACAATTACTACAGTTTGGTTTTCTTTATTTTGTATCTATGCATTTGCAAAAGTGATACCTAAAATTCTATATTCATTCAAATTTAAATTTTATTCTGAATCAGAAGCTGAAAATTCTTGGCTTGTCAAAGTTGGAGTATACTATTTAACTATTAAGTATATCATCAATAGATTGTGCTTTATAATTATATCATAATTCTTTTATAGTGGAATCTTACGTGCTCATATGGTCACTGCATTTGATTTAAATTTCAGCGTAATGCTGTAATCATATGCCAACTCACCATTAATTTTTATTAGATTGAGCTCATTATTAGCTTGTGTGGCATGTGCATTATATATTTTTAGCATCTACTTTGTAATAAAAATATCTTAGATGAAGAAATATGCTTTAAATAATCAATAAATTTAAACTAAATATGGATATATTTTTAATGGAATTAAGATAAACCAATTTTCAAAATATTTCAATTCAATACTTCTAATAAAAAAGCTCATTTTTATGCTATTCTTAATTTTTGCATATGAATTTCCAGTTTTTCAAACTGTCAGTATTAGTATTCTATCAATCTTAATGAGTCTATTTTATATCTTATTTTAACCATTAGATGATAAATTAGAGTATTTTAAATAGTTATTTAGTGAAGTTAGTATTTCATTTACGTTAATAACCATTACCCTTTTGGCTTCTGAAATTGAATTAGCATATTTTAAATATGAGATTAGATAATATTTTGGATGGGGTTGCATTTTTTTTATGACATCATTATTATGCATTCAATTAGGAATTGATGGCTTTTAATAATGGAAGTTTCTTTTTAAAAAGTATAAGCAAATTAGAAAGCTAGCCTAATCAACACTTGGACTATTTTAAAGAGAAAAACAGGTATCTCCTACTTCAAACATTTTCTAATAATAAATATGATTTCAGATTAATGATATAATTTTTCATATACTTAATTATGTACATCATTAATATATCTATTAATTTCTTAATGATTGTTTTTATATTGAATATTTATTACAAATAATCATTATATTCAGAGCAAAATATCAAGTGATAATATTTATTTAATTAAAATGGATTATTTTTATCTAATTTTTAATAATTGTTTTTCTACATTAATTTTCAATTTTAAACCAATAATCTAAACTTTACACTTAAATTAAAACTGTGATTCGAGCTCCATAAGATTCTTTGCACAATAAAATCGTATATTTCAGCTTAGGATAAGATTTTTCTAGATTCTATTACTAAATCTATATCATAAAAGAAAGTTCAAGTTTGTTTGCTAAATGTTTCCTATTGCACATTTTCCTGAACACATAGATCTTATCAACATGGTAGATTTTAGTGAGGTTTCTATAATTTCACATCGTATAGTTAAATTTAAATAATTTAATTTTAAAAATATCCAATTATTTTTGAACTACCCCTTGCTTTAACAAATATAATATGATATAATGCCTAGGTGAGGATTTAGGATTATTACATTTATAAAAAAAACTTATGTAAAATAGTAGCATAAACTTCTCAGCTTTAAAGCATTAAGATAAGTCATTTCAGGTTACTGAAGTGAAGATTGAGCCTGCTAGTAATATGGTATGCTAGCTCATGTTAAGAATAATACTTTGAATAAAAGTACATCATCTCAAATTGATGATGATTTTAACTAGAGACTTGAATCATATTTTATAGATATTGAACTTCAGAAAGTTGTTTAAAAGGATACTTCAAATCAAAGTATATTATCTCATGAAGCTGAAATAGAGGCTGAATAGAATCAGTCATTTGAGGATGAGATGCAGAGAACATAATACCAACTTATGAAAAAAATAATGGAAACCATAACTCAAGTTGATTTTTTGATGATTGCAGAATATATGCATAAACCTATGGCTTATTCTTTAACAGTTAGAGAACATATTCAACAAGAAACAAACTTATTTATACGAGATCTTAAATAGTGATGTATTTTCTCATGTTAGTAGTAAAATCAAAATGAGTTATCTCTATGTTCATAATAATAGCTGCACTTCAGATTCCATTTTATTTATTTTTATTGAGCTACTTAACCAGAAAAATACTAGCAATTTAAAGGTAGAAGGTAAAGTTATGGCTGTCAAAAATTGCCTTATAATAGCATCTGTTATTTTTTTATTAAGACAATATTCCTTAAAGATTGAGTCAGTGTGCATGCTAAAATATTATATCTTTTCCAATTTTTTTCGCCAATTTTCTGAATTAAATTGGATCAAATATTCTATTGTAATAAAATCTTGCAAATAGTCAACCACAACAAATATGCATTAAATAGCTTTCAGACTCATTAGTATCAATTAGCTCAGTCTTATCATAAAACTTAATATCCCTCTATTGAAAAAAAAAGAAATTTAATCTACCTTATTTCTTTAATTTGAATTTGATTCCTTTGATACAAGATCAGATCAATAATAAGAGTTTTAGTGAATCTTTTCAAATTGATTTTTAAATACAATACCCTATGTTATGTGAAGAATAGATGGGAGATAAAAAATTTCAATTATTAATAAAGTATTTAAATAATCTGAAATTGATAATTCTTTATAATATGAATACATGTATAAGTTTACAAATATATTTTAGTGGAGGTGGATTTTATAAGGAGTAAGATATTGGTTCTAACAAAATTGGAAGGTGAATAGAGGAATAGGAAGAATATTCAAGTGATAGTTAAGTAACTTATGAAGGTGAATATAATACTTATGGTTATAAAATAGGTACATGGAATATTATGCATAGATAAAACAGCAGAAAACCATTTGAAAAACTGTATAAAAAATACTTAATTATTTTAGAGACGATGGATCATATTATTATATAGAAGGAGTATCACGAAAATTTGGGAAGTGGACTGAGTTGAGATAGAGGTTTTATGAGGATAAATAAATCATTTATAATGGTGGATATGATATGTAAGGCAATAAAAAAGGAAGATGGGGGATTTTGTATAGATATAAAAGCAGCAAACCATTTGAAATTATGTAATAAACATTGCTCAATTATAATAGAGGCGGTGGATTATATCTTGAAAAAGTAGGAGGAACAAGAAAGTTTGGGAAGTGGATTGAGTTGGATGAGCAGAACATAGATTGGAATTATAATACTTTACATGGTGAATATAATGATTAAGGTATGAAAGTTGGTCAATGGGTAATTCAGTCAGAAAAAGTCGAATTTCCTATCATAGATTGAAGAATATATTAATAAAAAGACAAGAATTATTTAGTTTGAAATTTGTCTTTTTTTTCATATAACAAGACATCTTTCAGATGGTTTTATCAACTAATATAGTGTAAATGATCTAATAATTTTTCCTGCCATTAAAGTTTACTTCATAATATTATTTGAGTGTGTATTAATGAATGGGTAATAACACATTTTGTTAATATTTTTAATAACAGTAGTTCCTTATACAATATTAATTGTTTTTACTCACCGAAATAAGTAGGTATTTAATCTAAATAATACCTCGTAAGTTGTAAGTTGGGCATTAATCTTTATTTGATTCTTTAAATTTTCTACCCTTAATTCTTCCATTAAATTTTTAATATTACTAACTAAGAAGATAAGAGACTTAATTCAGCTGATTTTAATTTTAATTGAAACAAAATTAGTAAAACATAGAGTTTTAGAAATGATATATAGAGAAAAAGGAGAAAGATTGTCTGAATAAATTTAATCACAATTAAAATCAACAGAGAGGAGAATCACTTTTAATTAATTATTTTCATCAAAGTAGAGATTTCATTTGTTTATTGGAATTTCACTAGCCTCTTTATAATTCCAATATTTGATTAATTATAAAATATTTATGTTAGATAACTGGTAAAGCATCATAAAAGTATTTTATTAAAATTTATTAGGTGTACTTACAGCTTTTTTAGTCACTGTAATAATAAGTAATTTGGAATATATATGATTTATATTATATTAAATGTATAAATAAGAAGGGTATTTAAAAATATGGAACATTATTGCGTTTTGTTAGTTTATTAATTTTAACATTTATAATGTCAAATAGTAGAGGAAATACAACATTTGGATAATATTAAATATTATTTAAATATTCTCTTATCTATTTGGTTTTGGATTTTCATTAGGTCCATTATTATTTATTTATTTAACTGAAATATTACCAGATTTGGAGTTAGTACAAGTGGATTAACAAATTGAATGTCTGTAGTTTTAGTAACCTAGATGTTTCTAATTATTGCCTTGTATGATATCTCTTATTATTTTATTCTCCATATTTAATTTTATAAATTTAGTTATAACATTTATATATCTAATTCTTTCACTTGTTTAGGACATAATTATTTATATTAAATTTTTGAAATTAAATTTAAAGTAGTCTTACCTTAAAAAATTTAATAAATATAATTAGTAATTATATTTTGATTTCTTATTCTATTATTACAAATAATAATAATCAAATTATTAATTTTTGGCTTCATTTCAATTGCACAACTCTTTCCTTATTTATATTATCTTAATAGATTTTTAAAATCTGTTACATAAATATATTAATCATTCTAAAATTACATTTCATTCCAGTTAATAGATTTAATAAATTTAAATCAACTTTAAGAAATCCTGAAATACTCAATATAAATTATGCTGGATATTGTGGAAATTGATAGTATTAATTATTAAGGGATGCAAAAAATTCATTATATTTATAATTAATACAAGAATTGTTTATAAATCAAACAAAGATGTACGGATATCCTAACAAAATCAATATTAATTTTATAAATGGAAAAATTCTTTAGGAATTCAAGGCACTTGTTAAAAATTTTTATTAGTGTGTTTCAGATAATTTCAATAATAGTCACTTTAAAAAAATCAATTAATGAATTGCCATTTTAAAAATCATCTTCACGTCAATGCTAATAGTTGAATTCTAAAGAAAATTTTTTTAAATTCTTGATCATATACAATATTCAAAACAAAAATTTGTTCACCATCATTTTGATTTTAATATGAAAATTAGAATATTTATCCAAAATCAACTTATTAGGAATGTATAACTAATTGTTATTATTATAAAGATACTGGATAAAGATATAAAAAAATATAAATTTTATAAAAGTAATTAAGGTAATAATATCTTAGTGATGAAGGATCACATGATAAAAAGGGATTAAGATTGATCAATGGATAGAGTTTGATGAAAAGTTTTATTATTGCAAATAAATCACTAATACTTTGAAATAATCTGAAGGGTACAAGTGTAGGGAGATGGAATATTAATTATAAGAATGATTCGTATTAGAAACCTAAATATATGTATATATAATATAAGAATAGTAATAATATGTTTAATTCACAAACTTTTCCTTTTATTCAAATTAGTCCTCAATAGCGTCATAGAATGTTTAAACATTACAATTATAATAGTTAGCCATGCTTATTTTCTCCTAAAAACATAACATAAATTCTTTTCATAGTTTTAAACACAGTAATAGCCTAAGCAAATTGCTTAAAAACCTTCTAAACAATTAATAATAAATCAATGATCAACAATCACAGTTACAATAAATCACTTCACATAATGAGGATCTCTTATCTGAGAAGATTCATATATAAAATAAATGAACTATTGAAAATATTAGAAAAGAGATAAAGCAAATTTATTTAATAGAATGAAAAATTGGCTATTTTACCAGAGGAAATCAAATCATTTAGATTATCACTTATACATTAATTATCAAAATTAAATTCAAATAACCAAGAAATTTCAGGAAAAGCGCAAGAATTAAATCTTTAGAGATTAAATTCAAATATAAAACCATATAGTTTCACTGAAAGACTCTGCTCAGGTTGTGTAAATGGTTATCATAGAAATTTGAATTTAAAATATGAGCCTGATTGTGGAGATAAAATTAAAGTAGTTGATGAAAAATGTGAATCAGGGAACATCTTACCTAAAAATGGATGGAAGAATTACTTAGCAAAATGTTAGATGTCTTGCAAGACTTATGATATAATATTTGTAATACTGTTAGTTATACAAGTGGCGATGGTTGTAAAGAATGTAAATTTGGTGATATGAAGTTGAATAATGTATGTCATTTTATATGTGGTGATTTTATAATTGTATCAGTTGTATCAAAAGAAGATGTTATTTATAATAAGATGAGTAAGATAAAATCTTAAAGAAATACATAATTATAGGATTAATTTATAACAAAAAAAATGTACATTTTATTTACTACTGATCTAGTCAATTTCAACAAATTCTATAAAGTGAATCTAATTCAATGACATAATCTTTGCTAACTTTGTTAATTCTAAACATGCTATAGTTATTTTATAATATATCTTTGATAAAAATATAAAAACTACTAATTATTAGTATCTTTTTAAGAAGTGTAAGAAGTAAGTCAAAATAAGTAAGAGTCTATATAAACACCCATATTCTAAGATTAATTATAATATTGCGAAGTAGAAGTAAGTGCTCCATTAATTTGTTTAAAATGCTAAGAATATGCTTATTTTGACATTTATGAAAATAGATGTTAACTACCATCTTATTTTTATTTTTAATTAAACTAAGCATGTTATTAAGGATATTATTTAAGTGAGAACTTTGAATGTATCTCATAATGTGGAGATGGTATTCTTTTTTAAGATTAAGAATGTGAAACATAAGATCAAAATCAAATCTATAGTGGTTTTTATTAAGACATAATGAAAAAATCATGTAAAATTGATTTGGAATATGGACCTATAGAAAATAATGAAATCTTTTTCTATTATAATATTTGCTAATTGAGGCTAACAAAGACTGTTTAATTTGTGAATATGGAATTTGCTTATAATGTAAATACAATTATTTTCATCTGAATGGATTATGCATAAGTAGTGATAATTAATAATCCAAATGATAGTTTAGGAAATTATTATTGTCAAACCTTCTTATTTGGTAAGTGCATCTAATGTAAAATTGGATGGGAATTAACAAACTATAATTGCTATTCTTTTTGTGGAGATTCTATTACAGTTGATGATGAATAATGTGATGATGGAAATCAAATTGAATTTGATGGATGTTATAACTATTAATATTCATGTTGTAATATTGTGAAATATGGAACAAATATGATGTTAATAAATTTATGATCAATATTGTTTAAAATGGGAATTTGGCTTTTTATTTATTATGTCAAGTTGGATTTATATAAAATTAAAATTCAAAAACTTGTGAAACTTAATGTGGAGATGGTTAAATCATTCTTTTTATTAAAAAGAAATTTGAAGATAAGAATTCTGATCATATAATGGATGTGATTAATGCAAATTATAATGTGTACCTCATTGCTTAAAATGTCTTTATTTATTTGAAAATAATACTAT